TAACTTTTCTTTCCTGTAAATGGCAGGCGATAAAAGAGGAACCACGTCCACGTACTTATCAGAAACAACAACAAAAAGCTATCTCCTTGATCTAGCGGGGCATCTTACGACACTTTCCTTCCTTAAATAAACATCTTTTAACTGAGTTAGAAGAAAATCTATTATTTTTCGCATCTCTGTAGCGTTTTAGGACCAAAAATCCCTTTCGTTGCAGCTTACTTAAGATGGTGTGGCATCTTTTGCCACGTGCTTCCTTGAAAAGCCCAATTTCTTGCATATTACGACATAAACAAAAGGGCCAACAACTGCCGTTTTTGTCTCGCCATTTTTAAACAGGCAAACCTAAAAAAATGAAATACTGTTTTTTATAACCACCTTCTTAGGTGCTAAGAGTGCACCACGTTTTACCCCCTTTAATAACCGTGCACCACGGCTATAGGGGTATGAAGGACTCAGCCAAATACGGTGTCTCAAGTACTTTTGCAACTGGTTGTAGCTTGTGCTTAGTAATTGTATGACTCCATAAATTCGATTCGCTTTTTCGCAGATCCGGTAACATTCGATAAAGTTTTCTTCGCTTTGTTGAGTGTGATATATTTTTAAGGACGGTGCCTTGTTCAATGGTTTATTTGCTTGGCCTCGACGATTCCCATGAATTTTGAGCTGCCAGACATAACAAATGCTCTACAGCTGAATAACACATTAGGTTCCTATGTTATTAACCTCATGAGAGAAAAATCGTGATCGTCATTTAACATTTCAATATTTTTACGTGAGAAAACTTGGCCAAATCAAGAGAACGAGCTAGAATGTTGACACACAAACGTAAAGAATGTTTAAGCCATGGGAGAGGTCCTAGATCGCAACATGTTCGTGTCCTCCTGTGCTTATGTATTTTGCGGGGAAAGCGAGACCTTTTCAATCCTAACAAAAATACTCTTCTAGTTTTGAACCGGCTTAAGCCCCGAACCTAAGTTAATTTTCAATGGACAGGAAGCTTTGATTTTGGGCGCGAGACCCAACAGAGACGGCTGTGGCCATTTTTTAAAGCGCGAGGCGATCACAAGCTTTTTATAAAGAGTCAGTTACAAAGTACTTCTCCTGTTGCTGGTTTAAAACTAATTTCTTTTTTCGAACTGACGGACGGCGCGTCCCAGGCAGTTCGATGTAACATATTCTACTCATGTTGCTAGTTTAAAATAACTCCTTTTTTCTTACTTGTGGAAACTGGCGCGTCAGGAATTTTAATGTATTAATACTGACTCGCGCGATTTTCATGCCGGGTTTTTATGGAAGAATAATAACTAGGTGAGCGGAATAGAGTCCCTTACATTTAACGTATAAACAATGATGAAAGTAGAGTTTTGATTTTAAAAGTAGCGTGTGTTTAGGGTTTTATGCATCCCTAGCCCATTCGCGAAGGGTTGGAAGAGAACAGTGCACTTTGCAAACAGTTTAAGAGAGTGTGTTCAAAATCGAATACAGTTAATTTATGGTAGTTAAATTATAACTCAGTAATAACAGAACAATTGATAGTGAAGAGAAAGAAATTATTTAATTTATTACAGTCAGTTTTAAGACCTTCTTAGATTGTTTTTAACAAGAGAGAGACGAGTATCAGCAGTAATACTAGTCTGTTTAGACACCATTGTTATGCAAATGAGGTTCGTCGCCATACAAACCCTTCTAAATTTTGGAATGATGAAAGTCAACAGCGGACACCATAGCGGACACCCTAATCGCAACATCCGTTACTATGACAGCGAAGGGAATGATGATAACATAGGAGAAGGTGGCGAACCAGTTTTGGGCGAATTGTCTTACCCTAATAAGTCAAGTGCAGTGCTTAGGGTTAAATCAGTCGAGTGCAGTGCTTAGGGCTAACTCAGTCGAGTGCAGTGCTTAGGGTTAAATCAGTCGAGTGCAGTGCTTAGGGCTAACTCAGTCGAGTGCAGTGCTTAGGGTTAAATCAGTCGAGCGCAGTGCTTAGGGTTAAATCAGTCGAGTGCAGTACTTAGGGTTAAATCAGACGAGCGCAGTGCTTAGGGCAAAATCAGTCGAGTGCAGTGCTTAGGGCTGGCTCAGTCGAGTGCAGTGCTTAGGGTGAAATCAGTCGAGCGCAGTGCTTAGGGTTAAATCAGTAGAGTGCAGTGCTTAGGGTTAAATCAGTCGAGCGCAGTGCTTAGGGCTAAATCAGTCGACTGCAGTGCTTAGGGCTAAATCAGTCGAGGGCAGTGCTAACTTATCCTCGCTTAAAGTCACAGTTGAGTAGATATGGTAATGAAACAGGTTAAAGTTCGACGGGCCACAGTGACGTCACCCACCGATTTGCTGTTTCAGCAGAAATTGTTTCTATTTTTAGATGATGACGTCATCCTTTTGACTAGAACAGGTATAAAAGACGGATATCAACCATGAAAAATCATTTGAGATCATTGTGTCCTTGTGTAAAGATCGATCATGTGCAAAGCAGCGTATCCATGAGCTTGTCCTACATGCGGAAAGACAATCAAGAACAGGGGAAATTTCTTTCGTCATAAGAAACGTTGTGGGACTTCAGAGCATCGCGTTCAATGTCTATACTGTCATAAGACATATTCAACAAAAGACGATTTGAAGAAACATATCAAAAGGTTGAGTTTGATCGTCCGGGTGAACGCAGTCCTGAATAGGACCGTTGTTGTTGACAATGACTGACGTTTCGACAACCTGTGCGGTAGTCATTTTCAGAGTCAAAGTGAGTTGTATCACGTCAGTTGATGGTATTATACTCTGGTTATTGATCTGATTGGTCAATTATGTCGCGATGTTATCGGTCGTCTGTCAGTTAAGCCGTGATGTTATTGGCTATGAAGACTCGTAATCAGTGATTGGTGCGTTTCGATCTGTCTATTGTCACAGTTTAACAGTCGTTTATTGTTAGTCAAATTGTCAGTTCTCCAGTTGTTCTCTCGTAGTTAGTTTTGCTTTATCTCGTCAATAAGTCGTTTGTACGGCGCTGGTAACTGTTGGCTACGATTCAGTGGCGTTTGTCCTAAGTTATTAAACCAGCTTCCTAAAGTAAGACGTTGATAGTAGTCTGTAGAATACGTTATACATGTCGCAGAGTCCCAGTCAATTTGATGTTTCGTCTTTAAATAGTGCTCAGCAATGTGATTGTTGACGTCGCCATTCCTCGTCGCGCGTTTGTGTTCGGTCAGTCGCGTGCTTAGGTTTCTGCCGGTTTCACCAATGTAAGAAGCCTGGCAGTCGCAGCATTTGATCTTGTATACTGCTCCCTGCCTGTCCTCCGGTTTGTCTTTGTCCTTGACATAAGTAAGCAGTCGCCGTAAAGTGGTTATCGGTTTGTGCGCAACACGTATATTGTAAGGTTGTAATATACGTGCAATAGTTTCAGAGGTGCCTCTGATGTACGGTATAGTCGCTGTCGTAACAGGGCCAGAGTTGGTCTGAGAGTTGGAATCAGTGTTACTGTGAAAGTCCGTGTTGTAATTGTTCTTACTAAAAACGTTGTTAAGATAATCAGTCTCGTCTTGTAGGCTGTCAGGTGAGTCGCAAACAAGTTGCGCTCGTCTCGTCAGAGTCCGGATAGTTGTGGCCTTGTGAGAGGTCGGGTTGTACGAAGACTGGTCTAGTAATCGGTCGGTATGTGTCGGTTTTCTGTATATAGTGGTTTTTAGTTTGTTGTTGTCGCGAGTGACCAAGCAGTCTAGAGAAAGCATCTTACCATTTTCTTCGATCTCCTTGGTGAACTGTATGTCCGCGTTCTGTCTGTTAAGGTGTTCGTGAAAATCGTCGATTCCGTCTTTGTGTATGGCGGTGAATGTGTCGTCAACGTAACGTAACCAACGAGGTACAGTTCGCGTGTAGGTAGTTACGGCTTGTTCCTCGATGTTTTGCATGACAATTTCTGCTACAACAACAGAAACTGGAGAGCCCATAGCTGTACCGTGTAACTGTTTGTAGTGTTTGCCGTTGTACTGAAAGTACGTCGAAGTCAAACAGAGGTTGAGTAGGTCCATAATGTCGTCTGTAGGTAGTGGTAGTTCAACAGTAGAGTTCCTAATAGCGTTCTCAGTACAGTCTAGAGCCAGTTGAAGTGGAATACTGGTGAACAGCGATTTCACGTCAAAGGACACTAGTTTTTGGTCGTCCGGTATCTGTATTGTCTTAATGGCGTCAATAAAGTTCTCAGTAGACTGTAGTTTGTGTCTAGATTCGTCAGTTAGCGGTTTCAGTAGGTTAGTTAAGTATTTAGACAGTTGGTAGGCCGGGGACCCACAGAAAGAAACTATGGGCCGCATAGGTATGTTGGGTTTGTGTAGTTTTGGTAGTCCATACAGCTTGGGTGGCTGCGGAACACTACACCTCAGTCTGTTGTAGCGTCGAAAGTCGATCTTGTCGGTTTTCTTCAGTGTAAGCAGTTTGTTGTTAAGTTTGCGTTGCAGTGCGGGTGTCGGGTCTCGTTTAAGTACTTCTTAGGTCTGTTTGTCGTTAACAAGCGAGTCCATTTTGTCGTTGTAGTCTGTCTTGTCCATAACAACAGTCACCCGTCCCTTGTCTGCGGGTAGTATGACTATGTTCTAATCTGTTTTCAACTGTCTAAATACGTAACTAACGTACTGAAACCGCTAACTGACGAATCTAGACACAAACTATAGTCTACTGAGAACTTTATTGACGCCATTAAGAGAATACAGATACCGGACGACCACAAACTAGTGTCCTTTGACGTGAAATCGCTGTTCACCAGTATTCCACTTCAACTGGCTCTCGACTGAACTGAGAACGCTATTAAGAACTCTACTGTTGAACTACCACTACCTACAGACGACATTAAGGACCTACTCAACCTCTGTTTGACTTCGTCGTACTTTCAGTACAACGGCAAACACTACAAACAGTTACACGGTACAGCTATGGGCTCTCCAGTTTCTGTTGTTATAGCAGAAATTGTCATGCAAAACATCGAGGAACAAGCCCTAGCTACCTACACGCGAACTGTACCTCGTTGGTTACGTTACGTTGACGACACATTCGCCGCCGTACACAAAGACGGAACCGACGATTTTCACGAACACCTTAACAGACAGAACGCGGACATACAGTTCACCAAGGAGATCGAAGAAAATGGTAAGATGCCTTTTCTAGACTGCTTGGTCACTCGCGACAACAACAAACTAAAAACCACTATTTACAGAAAACCGACACATACCAACCGATTACTAGACCAGTCTTCGTACAACCCGACCTCTCACAAGGCCACAACTATCCGGACTCTGACGAGACGAGCGCAACTTGTTTGCGACTCACCTGACAGCCTACAAGACGAGACTGATTATCTTAACAACGTTTTTAGTAAGAACAATTACAACACGGACTTTGTTAGACGAAACACTCACAGTAACACTGATTCCAACTCTCAGACCAACTCTGGCCCTGTTACGACGGCGACTATACCGTACATCAGGGGCACCTCTGAAACTATTGCACGTATATTACAACCTTATAATATACCTGTCGCGCACAAACCGATAACCACTTTACGGCGACTGCTTACTTATGTCAAGGACAAAGACAAACCGGAGGACAGGCAGGGAGCAGTCTACAAGATCAAATGCTGCGACTGCCAGGCTTCTTACATTGGTGAAACCGGCAGAAACCTAAGCACGCGACTGACCGAACACAAACGCGCGACGAGGAATGGTGACGTCAACAATCACATTGCTGAGCACTATTTAAAGACGAAACATCAAATTGACTGGGACTCTGCGACATGTATAACGTATTCTACAGTCTACTATCAACGTCTTAATTTAGAAAGCTGGTTTACTAACTTAGAACAAACGCCACTGAATCGTAGCCAACAGTTACCAGCGCCGTACAAACGACTTATTGACGAGATAAAACAAAACTAACTACGAGAGAACAACTGGAGAACTGACAATTTGACTAACAATAAACGACTGTTAAACTGTGACAATAGACAGATCGAAACGCACCAATCACTGATTACGAGTCTTCATAGCCAATAACATCACGGCTTAACTGACAGACGACCAATTACATCGCGACGTAATTGACCAATCAGATCAATAACCAGAGTATAATACCATCAACTGACGTGATACAGCTCACTTTGACTCTGAAGATGACTACCACACAGGTTGTCGAAACGTCAGTCACTGTCAACAAGGACAGTCCTATTCAGGACTACGTTCACCCGGACGATCAAACTCAACCTTTTGAAATGACTCCTGGGTTCAAACCTTTCACAGTTGAAGAAACATGTTAGTAAGGTCCATTCCGAAGCAGGAAAGCGAAAAGCAGAAGAGTCGGCTGAACTATTACGCCTTGAGTTATTGCATTCAGACAAAGTTCCAACACTAGTCAGAGATGAAAGTCAGCAGGGCGGAGCTGTGAGTACTAGACGTATGAAAAAAGACCTCGAGAGTGCAAAGGAGGACCTTAAACCTTTGAAAGACGAACCACGGGCACGTAAAAGAAAATTAGAAGAGGACGTAGACATGTCTGATATGATAGACGAGGGAATGGATGACTTTTTGGTAGAGAGAGAGCCAATCGTTTAGAGCTGTCTGAGAATCCATTGTTCCAATCCAATCTCACGTTTCTACGATACAAAAGGCAAGGTTTAAAGGGAGCAGTCAAGAAAGAGCAATTCACCGTTACGTTTGACCAGTTACGTAAGCCCACAGAAGAGGAATCTTTGGGAGAGGGCTTGTTAGAGTCGCTGTTTGAAGCGGTAAGGGAAACGATACTAAAGGAAAACCTGTCGGATTCAACAAAAGTTCATCTGACTTTAACCTCAAAAGAACATTCAAATGGCACTGTCAATTCGGGATACTTATCCCATTTGAAGTATGGGATTCCCGTGAAGGAGTTTTGTACACCGTGGTGATTATGTACATGCTACGTTTTAGTAACTGGCAAGAAAAATGAATAGCGCTCAAAATATGAATCCAGCCATTGGGTTCAATGCCACTCTCACGTTTATCACCTACCCTAACAAAGGTGGCAAAGTTCCAGCTTCTAAAAATCCAAACAGATTACCCTTTGATTTGATGCACAAAAAGAAAAATTGTATGATCAAGATCAAAAACACGGAGTACGTGGACGGCGATCCTCAGAAGCAATATAGAAATCTAAGAGATGGAAGACCCATTCAAGAACGCCTAGCTAAGCAGCTTCACCAAGAGGCAGGGGTACCAGTGGGTCCCTGTGGCTATGAGGAACTAGAAAAATTTCAAACGTTTCTAGGACCCCAAGGCTACAAAATCATCGTGGTTGATTACGTATCTTGTGCCTGTATTTTTCAAGGTAATGTGGATCAGTACAGCAAAGTCATCTACTTGCTTAAACACGAGAATCACTACAATGGTTTAAGAAGCATTATTGCCTTTTTGAATCGGTCCTACTTCTGCCCTGATTGCTGTAAAGGGTACGATGTAGACGACGCAGCAAACCATTCTTGTAGAGGTCGTAATTGCACTAGTTGTCAGCGCACACGTTCTCAGAAAAATAAAGAAGGCTGCCCAAATTTTTCCCCATTTCCCAACGTACCATTCACTGCAAAGACTGCCAGCGTGATTTCTATGGTCCATACTGTTTCAAAGCCCATAAAGAACCAAAAGGTAAGAAAAAAGTCAGTCTTTGTCAGAACCTAAAGAAGTATCTAAAATGCTGTAAAGTTTATAAAGTGAATCCAAAGCAGCAACACAAATGCTACCACGACACTTGCCGTCACTGCCATGAATTTGTTGAAATATACAATCACAAATGTTACATCCAACGTGTTGAAGATGTAGACGATGAGGAACACGATGATGATGATGATGATGATGACGAGGAAAACAAGCTACCACCTCTCATGGTGTTTGCTGACATCGAATGTTTGATAGAACTCACAGAGCAGGGAAAGCAGTTATTCATAGCATATTTGATTCGATAAGCTACGGAAGAAGATCCACTCAATGTTTCTCATGCCTTTAGTGGCGAAACCTGCATTGAACAGTTCATTCAAGCCATGAATCAACTAACAGAAGTGGGAGGCAAACAGCGTGATTTATTTGTAATTTTTCACAACCTCAAGGGTTTTGATAGCAACTTTATCATCGAGGAACTTTACCGTCAGGGTATTAAGGTGGAAAACCAGCTGACGACGGCCGCCAAAACCCTGAAGTTCCATTACTAGTATCTGGACGCCATGATTACCTTCAAAGATTCACTTTGTTTTCTCCCAATGCCACTGGCAGAGTTGCCTGAAACATTCAATTTCGTCGAGCTTTATAAAGGTTTCTTTCCGCATGCGTTCCATACAAGAGAGAGTTTAACTTACAGGGCTCGTCTACCGGCAAGACACTATTTTCAGTCACAAGCAATGAAGCAAAAGAAACGAAAAGAGTTTGACACTTGGTACGCGACTGAATTGGCAAGAAATGAAGAATATGTCCTCTGGGAGGAGTTAAACAAGTACTGTTATTCTGATGTAATGGTCTTGAAAGCTGCCTGTCTAAAGTTTATGCAAGAATTTAAAGGGGAAGCGGGGTTTAATCCTATAGAAAAATGTGCCACCATTGCTTCTGCATGCAATTTATTCTGGCGAAGAGATCTTATCCGCGAGGATACCATTGCCATAGAACCATTGAATGGCTGGTGTGGTGCTAATGTCAATCAAAGTACAGCAGCACTAGAATGGTTATGTTTTGAAGATTTTAAACTAGGAGGAAACAAACTACGCCATGTCCGCAACGGGGGAGAGCAAAAGGTGATCACACAAGGCGAGGCTCTGTTTGTCGATGGCTATGACGAAACTACCAAAACGGTCTATGAATTTCATGGTTGCTTTTATCATGGGTGTGTTAAATGTTTCCCAAACTATCGCTACAGGAAACACAATTGCCATCCAGATCCTACCATCTCAGAGATCTATGAAGCCACCTGTAAAAAGACACAGAAGTTACGTCAAGCAGGCTATACGGTGATTGAGAAATGGGAGCATGATTTTGAGATTGAGAAGAAGACAAACCCCACTCTCATGGAATTTTTGAAGACCTTTCAGCTGTCTGAGCCATTGAACCCTAGAGATAGCTTCTTTGGTGGTAGAACCAATGGAGTGCGTTTACATTGTGTTGCAGCAGCAGGAGAAGAAATTCGCTATGTAGACATCAACTCGCTTTACCCGTACGTCAACAAAACAAAAACGTATCCAGTGGGTCACCCCGAGATTTTGATCAATCCAACAAATCAAGATATTGGCATATACTTTGGCATAGCAAAAGTCAAGATTCTCCCACCACCCCATTTGTATCATCCAGTACTCCCCGTCCACACTGGTGACAAACTCATGTTTCCCCTATGTACACAATGTGTAAAGGAAGAACTGGAAAAACAATGGTTGACTCGTACAGCGGTTTGCACCCACACTGCGGAGGAACGCTGTATAACGGGCACTTGGTGCACACCTGAGTTGCAGAAAGCTGTGGACCTTGGTTACAAGATCCTAAAAATTCACGAGGTGTGGCATTTTTCTGAAAATCAGCGCAAAGAGGGCTTGTTTGCAGACTGTGTAAGTAAATGGCTCAAAAATAAAACTGAAGCATCGGGTTGGCCCAAGAATTGTACCACAGAGGCAGCAAAGTCAGAGTACATCAATGCTTACTATGACCGTGAAGGGGTTCAGCTAGAGACTGCAAAAGTTGCCAAAAACAGGGGACGGAAACAAGTGGCGAAACAGGTAATAAGGTAATAAGACAGGTAATAAGAATTAGAATGAAAAGATAGAACAAAGATCTTCGAAGAATCATTGTTTGATTTGTTTCCCTCTTTGTAGCTTCCGGGGCAAATTCAGCAGGTAATAAGAATTAGAATGAAAAGATAGAACAAAGATCTTCGAAGAATCATTGTTTGATTTGTTTCCCTCTTTGTAGCTTCCGGGGCAAATTCGGCGAGAAACCCAACAAGACTCAAACCTTTACCGTCACAAGTCCTGCAGAGCTATATGCAATAATAGAAGATGTTGGTGACAACATTCACGACATACGAATTTGCACTGATGATGTAGTAGAAATTGATGTCAGTAAAGCTGTAGAAGAGGTCATTCGAAGCAATAAAACCAACATTTTTATCGCGAGTTTCTCCACGTCATGGGCTCGCTTAGAGTTGTACAAGTATTTAGAGCTGCTGAAAGAGCAGGTCTTATACTTTGATACAGACAGCATCATTTATCTTTGGCGTAACGGTTTACCTGAAGTGGAGACAGGCCCACAGATGAAAGAAGAAACCGCTGGCGTACCCATACAGGAGTTTGCGACAGGGGTCCAAAAAATTACACTTACATGCTACAAAATGGTGAAACAGAATGCCAAAAACGCGGTTTTACTCAGGACGAGCAGGGCAGGGCTCTGTTGAATTTTGATTCCATGAAAAGTCACATTTTAGCTGCGATCAAAAACCCTGGGAATGCACCAAAACCTATTACGGTACCTGTAAGCGTGAATATGGACACCAATAGGACCACCAAGAAAATCTGTCTAACCCCCAAAGTCAAGAATTATCGCCTTGTCTTTGAAAAGCGGGAGATTCGAACAAAGGATTGTAGAAGCAAACCTTATGGTGATGATTGGATAGGCCAACACACTTGAACTAGGCCTTCTAAGGCTTTTTAAGTTAGCATTTTTGCCTAGAGATTTGTACGCTAGGTTATTGATTCAATAAACGTGTGTAAGGATTATTTCTGTGTGATTGATTTACCTGACTACTTATCTGTTAAACAGAGCTAGATTGCCCTAGCCCCACTCCCTTGCCCTAAAAACACTCTCTTCCCCTAACCCCTCCCCTCTCACTCTAACAGAGATTGCGAGGGCCTTGATCCTAGTGAGATAGAGTTGCTGGCTCAGCGTTTTTCAGGCATAAAAAGGCAGAATGAGATTAGCGAACGTGTTAAACAGCAGTCACAATGCAGACAGTATACAAGATTTGGAACAATTTTCATACTGGCAAGACAAACGTCTGACTAGTTCTCATTGCAATGACCTTTACAACCCAGTGATTTCTGTGGAGTTAACAGAATTAGCGGATCGTGTGGTAGCTAATAACGATTCGGTGGTGGAAATTCAATTGGATTTGTGTATTCAAAAACTACCTGTCCCTGCTTGGCATGAAAGTTTGTTGATGTCTATGAGCGATGCTTTATTACGAGCACTTCAACGTTGGATTACACGTCATAGGTACCCCATGAAATCACAGTGTTATGTTTCATTGCAAGCAGTCGAACCGTTACCTCTGCCTTTAACAAGACGTCTTGGGGTGTTGACAAATATTCCCATCTTTGCATTCTTTCCTTGGACGTGTAACTTAGCACGCACCATGTTAGCCCTCTTTGATTGGTTAAGTTATAGCTGGTTGATGACACAATTACAAGCACCGTGTATGGAATTTAAATTAGTTATCATAGTGATCCACGAGAACCATAGCGAATGACGTCATCATGTAATTAACGGGCACAACAATAGATTGACGTCATTCGATTAATCCATGACAACAAAAGCCGTTGACGTCATTGGGTGCAAATACAAAAGACTTGTCCAGACCTGCCCAGTGAACGTGATGATAACAAACAATACATGACCCAAGCATACATAAGATATCTGGGGATCACTTTTGAGTATAAGTGCTAGGCAGTTTTCCCTTTTCAACTCACTACGTCTTTGAGCTAATAACGACGATGCAAAAGATAACGTATCCTAGACCTTGTCCTACTTGTAGGAAGAGTTTTAGCAAAGGCCATTTCTTTCATCATAAAAAGAGATGAGGTACAACAGAAAATCGAGTGAAATGCCCAGAGTGTTACTTAACTTTTGGATACAAACACGTTATGTTACCACATGTAAGACAGTAACATTCGAACAACCCATTGCGTTTTCCATGTATGATTTGCGATAAGGTATTGACATCTGCTCAAAGCTTGACCCTACACGTGAAGACCGCTCATGCTGATGAAAAACCTTGCTTTGACTGCTGGTACTGCAATTCCACGTTTACAAGACGAAATGCAAGACAAGATCACATGCGTCGTGTGCATGGACGTATTTGTAGAGAGCGAGAGGTAAATTTGTATCTTCATTTGCAACGTTTAAGTGAAGAGAAGAACTTCAAGAACGAGTGGCAATTTGTGGAATCCAGACCCATTGAACACGGCGAGCATAACGTCTCCCCTTGTGGTCAAACACACATAGAATGTTACTTCTTTGCAGAAATTAAACAAATGGAACGCACCTTCGTGGGCTCAGATTGTGTAACGAGCGCGGATCTCAAAGCAGCAGCTGTGGTTGACTATTTCAAGCATATTCTACAAAACACAGTGTGAGGGACATACAAGGGGCAAGATGAGAGGGGATTACAGTGATTCGCAGTTCGCACAAACACTACGTTAGTGCAGCGCCTGCACGTAGTGGAACATTTACACCCACAAGTAACAAGAAACCCAGAGAGCGAATGGGAAGTAGTGGTTGTCTACCCTGAAGCAGAGACTGGTTGTAGGTAAAACATATTCTCTGAAGTTGAAGGCCAAGTATAAACAAGGGCAGCTTACTTTCACAGCATTGTAATTTCACTAGGTACGTCATTTGCTATATAAGGTAAATAAATCACACATTGTTTATACATT